AAATAAAAAGTTATAAAAAAAAAAGAAAACTAGAAGAGCGTTCTCGATTCAAAAATTGAATTGATCGCCCCATTGTATTCCAAATGTATCATTTGAGCTGTTATTATGGGCTCTCTCTAGAGTTCTATACAAACTGGTAATCCAATACTTTTGTATGGGAGGCACTTAACGCCCGAGCCCAACTACGAAAGGACTGATGTGTTATTGAAATATAATTTGTTTAGTGTTTTATTATAGAATGTGTAAGAACGAATAGCATTCTGTGGGCTACATCAACGCTTAATAGGTACAAGTGTTTGTTTTGTAGATATAGTTTGTCATTAGGCTATACTATGTACCTAGAGAATATCAAATCTATGAAATAGTTATTACTGTATTATTACAGTTCTTAAATTATTTGTAATATTCGTGGTTGGGTGCTGCTAGCGGGGATTAGTCTGTTAAAGCTGTGGCTGCTAACTGTGTTACTTTTGTTTGGTGATATCAATTTAATTGTATGTGTATGCTGGTAGTCCTGTATTCTTATTATAATGTACAATCATCAACATTTCAAAAGAGTAAGACCAGGTTCCTTCTTATATTTTCTCAGCTCTAGCTACATTTCGAACTGACTATACATTAACTTATCATAAATATCTGTAACAGACCTATATAAATAAAGATATTCTGGTTTGATTTGAATTTAATTTCTGCAAACGCCATGAGTATACTCTCTAGTAAGCTGCAAGTCTGATAAAATCGAAAACAGTCTGGGAACCGCAAAAAACAACTACCAATTCATTGGGAGCTTAAAGGTCGATCCAAAAAAATTGAATACAAACCACAAAAACCTAATCGAGTATAACATAGAGGAAGTAACGTATAAACGAGCGTGATAAATTAAATAAACAAATTTATAAAAAGTTACACGGACAGACGGACGGAACGAAACGCTTTATTATTATTGCGGTTGGCAGGTACGACCCGGGAATCGAACCCACGCATGTACAGTAATCCTATTAACCGCCGATTGTGGACGAATAAATAATTTATATTCGATCTCTTTCAATTGAAACCTACAAAGTTAGACGGCTTTTAAAACGATTTGTAAACAGTTTAAAAATTGTCCAATCATGTATATGAGAAATAAACTCCCAAGGGATTATTTAAATGACTTAACTCACAACATTGGTCTTCATGTTTGAACTAAATTCATTTTGTGACAATCCAATATTTCTAATATTAAATATGTAAATCAATGAAAATATTATATTATTTTAACAAACAAATAATGCCTCCAATTAACACTCAAGTTGAGTTAAAAATAAGACTATTTAGAAATAATTTAATAGTTAAGTATTTTTTTAGATAGAGTCTTATTTTTACTTCTGATTTCGTTCGCATTAAGCGGAGGTAAGAACTTAATAATTTATTAATGAGACCATGAAAACAAGCATATAAGTAGTTACTTTTATATTTTGCTGGTAATGAATTATTTATTATAAAACCCCGTATAAATTCATAAATGGTTTGAAATACATATAAAAACACTATGGATGAGACAATAAAAATCACCAACACTTCATATAAAATTACTTCATGTTCTCTTCGTGAAAAAACTTAATACAAACAAAATACCAACTTATTGACATTCAAATGATTAAATAGTAATAAAATCATGTCACACAGTAATAAATCAATACTAAATTTAGCTCTCCAGCTCATAACAATATCGAAATTCATAACACGTACTGGGCCGACCGAAAACATTCCCATATCAATCAAATTGAACAAGCAAACTGTATCAAAAAATACAATAAAATGTTGTTAATAAAAACAATATTATTATTAAAACAACTAAAAGAACAAGATCCTTGTCGGCTCTCGATGCATGGCCTCTATGAGGCCAATTTCAAATGTTATGGGCATTTGTACTTCCAATTGAGGGTTATGGGATATTTTGGGTAAACATACTTGAAGATTGTTCTTGTATACTACTACTATACCCGACGTGTTTTGATACATGATTGTTAACTTTACTAATATTATTTTTATAATTAAGCTTCGTGCAAAGTTTTTGTAACTTTGTTGAAATTGTTGCAGTTTAACAAGAAGTTGTTGGTGTCTTAATTACTTAAAAAATATTCTAAAATTTATGTAATTAACACTGAGAAGCAATATAATTTGGACTCTGTACAAGCTTTTATTTAATACAGCCACATTAATGAAGTTGGCAACAAAACTAAAGTAAGACGATGGCACCTAATAAATAACATATTAAAAATATTATTCATTTATTTTTAATATGTTATCTATGTTATGTATATAGTATGTTTTTAATAATATAAAAAACATGTTTTTAATTATGAATATAATTTTTAGTATATCTATCAGTTGTATATCTATCCTTAACATAATATCTGCTTAGCTCGATGGCGCTGTGCTAATTACGTATTTTATTTTATAGTCTTGCGTAACTATACATTTTGGCCGTATAATTTTTACATAATACTAAATGAATGAAAATAATATTTATTGTTACGTAAAATATTGTCAATACAGCATATTTAAAAGGAGTTTTTCAATTTATAAAATCTTTTTCGTTGCTTATTTACATATTTGATATATTCTAGTATCAAGAGTTGGTGGTCGCGTGCTGGGGTGACGTCGGTAAATCACAATGCGCTCGTGTTTTGTTGTATGAATTGCGTTTTTTTTTAGTGAAATCGATCACAGTATCCGCCTCAAATCCGACATAAGTACTTATTATATTGTATTTACTTTGTTACTTTATTTTAAATTCAGAGTATCAAATCATGCTGTACCTTAGTTAAGTTATGGAAAAAAAATATTTTTATACTTAAAAAAAATATGATTATTCAGTATTTTCTAAAAAAAATGACAACGTTATAAAAACAATTTTATTTTTAAAAATGTCAATTCATACAAACTTTATTTTCTTTTATTTCATTAAGAAAAGTTAGCAAAACCAACCATGAAGATGCTTATCGAAAGCCCAAAACAGTATGACTTTGAATGTTTTAATTTTATGAATAAGGCGGCACACACACTGATAAAGACCCGTTGTTATAGGAACGCAAAACGATCAACTGTAAGTGTATAAACGATACATCTCGTGTAAATATGTATGAGAAGGCGGGTACAGTGCCCTTGACAATGCTACTACTGCCATTCCAGTATTGTGCAGCCGTCATTATGCCACGACTTCTGAAGTAGCAGGCACTCCCATTCGCTCCTTTGTCGCTCCTTCCGAATAATTAGAGCAAACAACATTGTCGCTCGGATGCTTGGAGCGGCAATAAAGTATACATTTCAACAGAAAAAATCAAGAGCCCTCAACGAAGGGTCGCTTTTATAGTTAATTTTTATCATTGTTGCATACCCGCCTTGTAATGTTGGCATTCTCGTATTCATACATCGCTTGATGAAATATCTTGAGAGTTTTGATATATTGTTTTGTGAAAAGGTTATAAGAATCGTGAGAATAATTGAAGTACATTGAGATTACGAAAAATAAATTATTAAAACAACAGTATCAAATAATACCTTCAAATATGGATAGAGGAGTAGATACAAAAGTATCTATAACTAAGCAATGTATTGATGAAGAATACGCGGCAGAAACTTATTGTTCAATTAATAGAAAGTAGTCATTACATTCAAAAAGGTCATGTGAATCGTAGTACAGTATTCTCTTGAACAAAGCTGAAATTCGAAGTCTAAAATAAGATAAGGTTACTCAGTGTACACGCCTTGTGTTTGAGAAATGTTATTGATTTCCACTACAATAATAATGAAACCTCTAAATCTACATAAAGTAAATCTCATACTGTATGTACTAAACAGTTGATATAAGGACTTTTTTTTATAAATAATACCTATAGGTACATAGAAAACGGACCAATATAAACATTAATTATATTAATACTCATCTCGACCATGCGATGTGCTAAATCGCTAGATCACAATGACAGTCAAGGCAATAACGACTATAAAATTAAAGCCATAACAGAATTGCATTGTTGCTTCATCAACATTACTCCACTTGCTTCACTCCAATTGTAAGGTACAGTTCAATCTCTTTACTATGCTATATCTGTTTATTTAAGTAATTAAATGATATAGTTACTTAACTAGTTCTGTATAAAAATCACTACCTAATATCTGGTATTACAATTGCAAAAGCTAATCCTAGCTGTAACATGTAGATAGCATCTTTCATTTAACATTTAGCGATGGTATCTCCTACCGTCGTAATTCATTTGAGGCAATCGTATTTGGTTTTATGACACATTAGTCGGGCTGCGGGGTGAGCCCGGACCCCGAGTTATCTGTCACCAAGATACTGTCATCTCATCTCGGGGGACATCATCCCTCGGGAATCCGCACTGGGCGAAGTCGAGGGGGAGTATTTAAGAGTCTTTAAATCACTTTTGGGATGGTGTCAATCTACTTTAGTCGTTTAGATTTAACAGGTAAAGATGAAAATATTCGATAATCACTTGGCAATAATTTGGTGATGTCATATTGGTGATAAATGAATCGATTTGAGGCATAAGTCTGATAACGCGCCGACTATAAATAGAATTCATTGGTTTTATATTATACATATAATGGGAATAGCAAATAAGATAACGGGCTACGTAATGATATGTAGTATCCATCACTTATATACATAAACAGGACACATCAGCGAAGACGGTTTTGTTTTACTATTCACACACCGCCATCTAGTCTCAAGCAAAGTAGTGCTTGTGTTATGATTACTAAATAACTAATACAAATACATACATATGTACATAGAAAGCCCTCAGATCAATACAAACAATAATACTCTTGAATATAATTGTTGGTAGCGTACGCATCCCTTGGCTACGGCGATATGTTCGAGGAGTAATAGTCATCAGGTTTTTTGCTGGTAGAAGGCCGACAGTATCCATTCGCCCCTAAGCCAGTGGTTCTACATGACGGATTTTCCTGATGTAAAAAAATATACTTACATTATGCAGTTTGTAGTAGAGTCCACACGCATTACAGACCGGCTCTCCGTTCTGGTTGCGTCTCCATAGCGTGGTTGTTGTCGTCTTACAGTTGGCACATGACGTGCCCGCTCGCCGCGCCGCACTCTGTAGCGACTGCAAAATACACATTTTCTATTAATACAGCAAAATCCATACCAAAATTATTGTCATGACCTAGTAGCTTACTAGAGAGAGTCGTGGCTTAATAATTAAATTTTAACTAAAAAAGTCACGTGCTAATGTTTTTTTTTTATTTTGGATGTTTTTTACGAATACCTGCAGAATAATGGGAACATATTGAGAAACATGAAGCATCTGGGAATTGGACCAGCTCCCTGAAGCATTGGCTTGCTGCGTATTACCCGACTCAAAAGGTCATGCTTTCGTATATTGATATGGTAACTCAAATAATTTGTACAAAATATATAATTAATTATGTACAAAATTAGAATTAATATTATGTTTTGTTTTGTGTAATTTGATGAAGTATTGTAACATACATAGCAAATAAATAAAACCTATGTAACATACATATACCGACAGACACAATAATTGAGAACTACGTCCCTTTAAAGTCAACAGCAATATTTTTTTAACTTTTAGTAACAATTTTTGTATTTGGCCGCGTGAAGATAGTTCGTTATTTATTTATATTACTAAGCCTAATTTATTTCCTATTCGTCTATAGTTTTGTAACGTAATATATATCTCCCGCTGTTTATGATCATTACGATGATAATCCCTCAATAAACACCTGTCTATATATGCTATTACCCATAAGAACCATATATTCGTATAAAACATGTTTAATGACATGATATTGCAACGAAATTTAGTACCCCATTAATATTTGGTACAACAATCGTTTCAAAACGTTATTGTATTTATATCAACTCGCAAAACGAAGCGACACGCAAAAACTCTATCAGAACTTCGATACGAAAAAGCGAGGTAGCTATCGCCGACGTCTCTTACGCACCTGCCCATTACTACCCGTCAATCAAATAAAAAATATCCCCGGCATGCGGTGGCCGTTTTATACAGTCTACAAAAGTGCCTCACTCAATTAAAAATGCATTCGTCCTAACCCGACACGAAAATAAAAGAGCGAACCAATCTGACTCATAATAAAACCATTAATTTGTCATGTCATTTATCAGACAAAAAGTAGTGACGTCGTGAAACATTGCGAGTTGGACTAGTCGAGACATCGAATATTCGATTCCTGGTAACCAAATCGAATACTATCAAAGATTATCGTGACTGCAGCGGTATATTGTCCGATTTATTATAGTAAGTGACTGTACCGACCTTTAGAGGACAACCGCGCTCTGTATCTCAGAACTAATTATTTTAATTAACAACAGTAAAAGAAATAGATTATTTACTTGTAATAGAAAATATTTAAAGCTTTTAGTTTGTATACCTAATGCGTAATGCAGATTTTTAAATAGAGAACCGATAGTGTTATATCTAATGTAAAAGTCTTCGGGACAGAGTCGCCGGGATTCGACAACAATTAAAATTAAATATCGCATAGGTAAGACAGTGGATATATTAAATAAAAAGAGAGAGAGAATTCATTTAAGTGCAAAACAAGTAATAAGTACAATATTAGAAAATATAATAGCTATAGTACAAACTTTGCTCAGTTTGAAACTAGATGGCGGTGTGTGCGTCGTCCAGAAAAATATATATAAAATAATTTAAATATACGAGTACTTGTGTCTTTGATAGTACAAATGCATATTGTAATACCTAAATATTAAATGGTTTGCGTGAATATTCGCCGCGTCATGGCAGCTCCTTTGTGCCACGACGAGATTAGAGCTCGCCATATTAACCGTATAGCTGCCCAACTGGCACTTTTTCTTAACATTAACTCCGATACTTCCATTTGGATCGGACCTTACTTGTCATACTAAACATTTATATTTGATTGTCAAGGAAAACTGACAGGATTATGGGTACCTTTTATTGTCAAAGGGTACAGTCGCGTTCATTTATATTTGTCACAATTTCCCATGTTACAGTGTCCTTCCAACTTCACACAAGTTACTTTTTGCACGGAGAAAATCTCATGCTAAAACTCATTGCTTCATTAACCGGAAATACTCTTTTTATATAGGTACATGTCATACATGTTATAAAAGAGAATTTGTTTAGGATTTCAATGTCCATTTTCTACGTAATATGTATATCTGATTCCACAATCTTTTATCAGACTCTTTCCTCAGGTGAAACTAACTAATATCTATCTAATACATAGTAGTATGATAAGATGGTAAAAATAACAAATTTAGTTATCAAAATAAATAAACTTAATAAAACTTTATTTAATCTACGCAGTACAGATTCCAATTGCCCGCAACGGATTTCATAATCTTTAGATAACGGTTCCCATCAAATTGTAACGGACGGTGCATAACCCCTCCCCGGTGACGACTCCTAAATCAGAGGGGTTCAGTATAAGCCGATTACAGAAGTCAAGCGCTCGCTCCCGTCTAGAAGGGTGTCGGGTGGTTTTATTTCCTCGGAAAAACGGCTGTTTACTCGTAATTTTATAGGCGAATTACTTTCGGTACTCAAACGCTGAAATGGCTGGAAAACGTCGTAAACTTTATGAGCTGGATTATTTATACAGGTCATACGAGTCCGAAAAAACTCTCCCAGCCCCAAAAATGCGGAGTATGCGTGTACTTATCTCGTGAGGAGAGTTTTATTAATTCCTCAACCCATTTCACTGTCAACAGCATTCCACGATCGATATCGAACAGGCAGCGTCGAAAAAAATAGCTAGCACACAGTAAATATGCCGACAAAGATAAACTGTCCCGGTACTCAAATGAATACACAAAATTCAGCGCATATTGTCATATTGGTACTTTAATTTTCAGTGTAGTGTAAACTCAAAGAGCATGCGCTGTGACATCAAGGGTTTCCTTTGTACACATACAACAAAACATCCTTTTGTTATCATTTCGGATTAGATAATGTCGTCGATAAAAAACAGTGGACAGATTTTTTTATAGTTATTGTAAGGATAATGACCCAGTCATCCTACTAGTTGTGAACAATCTCGTTCCATATTTTTTGTATGTGTACACCTTCGATTTATTCCAACTTTGTATACAATAATAGTGATTAGTATTCAGAGAATTAGAGTATAGATTAAGCTCCCGATTTACTATATTTATAAAATTACTATGACACTCATTAGGATTATCTAACTAGATATATTTTTGATGATCTGATAAATCATGGAGATTACGGAGATATCCAGATCATGGAATCGTCAAACATATCAATAGAATGTGATCTTCTTGAACTCTGATACATTAAGTGTTAAAATTTTCAAACATCTGAAACTTACGTTTATTATTATCGAATTTATGCGTTTATAAAATTAAGTAACTTGGCGTATATATTTACTAAAGAAACATTATAATATATACAGATAACTTGCTGCTTTCTGGTGCGAACATTAGGTAGGTATATAAGACCCTATAATATATTTTCAATTTTGCTATTAACTTTGTTCAAATACTTGTAATCACAGAAACAGTTCATTACACACATTACGTTAATAAAGCAATGATACAGAATTAATTATCAGAAGCGAGCAGCATCAAACAGATTAATCTCGCGTCGCTTCACACGAACACGACTAATTCAATAAACCACCCACATTAAAAACATATTTCCATAAAGCCCTGCCCTTCTTGCGATCCAATCAGGCTTATCTCCCCCGGTCCTACTGCAAACACCTCCTAATCAAATCAAATCACAGCCTCCGTCTTCCCTAATCTATCTACCTATCTATGCTCAAACATAAAATTATATTACAAAAAGGGACGGTTACCTACAGCCCCTCATATATTTGCAAACACAAGCAAAATTTAACCTACCCGGAAACAGCGCTATACACAACATACCTACATGATTTTAGTCCGAAAATACAAACCTATTCGCCGCACACAAACAAAACCGTCGTCACATCAATACCCACACAGCTCCGCGTATCAGCATATCTACGCCATCTAGATCCCACTACGAGAACCCCCAAGGGGGAGGCAATCCATTTACCAGGGCTGTCCCCGTAGTGAAATTTCTCTCTTATCCCCATAAAGTTAGAGATGACAATCGCGCGGCAAAACTGGTGTTTTTAAAGGTTTACACGGCCCCAAGCAGTGAAAGCGCGGAATCGATGTAGCCTTTACCCCTCTCCCCGCGCCAGTTTTTCCGGCGTTCCGTCCTTATCTGACCGGGGCGATTAGATAAAGAGAGATAGAGCGTGAAAATAAAGATTTTCATCGTGTTCACTCACACAGCGCAAGTTTCAGCTATTCTGAGCATAAAGTGGTTCAAAGTGTGCATATTACATGTAAATGTAGAGGTTATATAGGAGGGCTCTTGGAATAGAGCAAGGGTCGACAGAACTTTGATGTAGTGAGTTGGTTCTTTTGAGCTGTTACTTCGTGGTTTATTTATTCATAAGTACATAAATGTTAGCTTTGAGATAATATAGACAAACTTCTTTATATTTGCGTAATGGAAAGAAGTTCAAGATTGGAGTAATATTGAGTTGTTAAATGTTTTTTATTATCATTTAGTTTATTTACTAGTTTATCTTTATCACTCATGATATATATTTTTATATATATAATACGATTGTAGTATAACTGTTTGGATGTCCATTTGTACGAAGCAATAGGTATTTTATGTAAGTGCGTACCAAAGCTATATGAATAAAAGATATCTTTTTAATGCCGTTTGGACAATTTAAAGAAATCAAGGCTACTCTCACCAACTCACTCGGGTTCTTCATTGTTTAGTTATGGTATATATTTACACACGGTGTCGTGTCTGGCTCGGAGTTTATCACCATTGGCTCGACGGCGATGTATCTCCGAACCGATCATAAAAATAAATGCGAAGCTCGTAATTTTTTAAATTTTCACACGAAGATGCAACGCTTCAGCCCCCTCCCCCCGCCCCCCGCCTCCCATTGGCCGTACCGCGGAAGCCATGTTGGGAAATTCGCTAACGATTTATTTGTGTGCGGATCGCGGAGTCGACCGGTCGCGTATTGAATACCGTAACGTCGTGATATA